TTGGCAATGAACTTTCTACTCGACTGACATTTGAAAAAGGAATTTTCATCTTTTTCAATTTTTGTTGTTTGCTGTCGCATCTTCTGCTGTTTACCCTTCACTGAGCAAGACTTCGGAAAAATGAAAAGCGCCAGTTTTTTTTTAGTTTTGATAGTTTTCCATATTTCCATTGTGGGTCAAGAACGAAGGACGACACCCTTCCTGTCATGCCCGGCCTCAATTACGAGACTGAGCACAAATCATTAAACAAAATAATAATTTCCGCAAGGGACGAGCGAAATGCCGGAATAGGACCGGAATCGAGGAGCCGGAGAGTCCGTTATGGGCGAGGGCGATGGCGAGGACAGGCCCGACAAATTGTACAAAACAAAGGACGCACAGTGCAAATGCACAAACATACTGTGACACAAACACACACACGCATGGGGGAAAGACTCTTGATTTGGCCTCACATATAGAAATCTGGCAGGCTGCCCCCGAGAAAGGACCGGCATCTGAGCAAATACCAAATGTCAAGTGCAGGGCGTTAAATTGTCGCAATGTGTGAGGTAAAAGGGATGCTGTGCTCCGAGCTCCCCCACAAACAGGCTGACCTTTCGGTCCTTGCCTTGAAATTCACTTTAAAATCTCTCAACATAAATAAGCGTACATAGTTGCCTCCGTCGTTCTCCTCCCTTATGCTTTGGGCCCATTCAATGGCTTCAACGCGCCATTTGTTATGCCCCAAGCAGCAGACGGGCAGAAAAATGGTTAGAGACCAAAATTTATTGAGAGTAAAAACGAAAATTGTCAAAATGTAAAAAGTGGCTACCTAGTGAAAAATGTTTCTAACTTTGCTAATAATTTGCATACTTTTTGGCGCGATGTATAAAACTTTGCTCCTCAAGCTCCTCATTTCATATTGCCGACTTTACACTCTCTCTCTCATTTGACTGGCATGCACGCACATCGCTCGGCCAGATGCTCCTCCTCCACGCAGCTACTGCTAGCAGGCAACAGCCGTCAGCAGTTGTTGGATTCTTGGCACTACTGAAATTAGAAGGCGCGAGAGCATTAAATTTTCACACTTTTCGCAAGCGCAAACAGAATTAACGTGCACGCAAAACTTAAAGGCAGACAACTGGCCCATCCCATCCCTCAGTGCATGCCACCCTTGCGCGTTGCCAACGTGCCAGCTACCGCAAAAGCCACAAAAAGTTGCAGGAATGCAGAAATGCGACAAAAAAAAAATGAAGCAGAACTACTCCTCAAAGCGAATTTTTCCTGGCCATTTCTCTACGTTTCGGTCTCTTGCCGTCTGTTTTACGCGGTTTACTGCTCACCAGAAGCTGTCAGATATTGTTGTCCCAGCTCCAGCTGCAACTGTAGCATCAAAAAACTCACCACTCAACCCAATTTGTCCACTTCCACGGCTTACTCACCCTCCAGTTGCCGCGCGTACATGTTTATCTCTTTGGTTTTTTTTTTTTTTTTTGGTAAATACAACAAGTTGAATTTGCAGCGAACTCATCCCTTGGCCACATAACATTGGTACTTATCCAACTTGTCAGTTTGCATGTGGTCGAGAAGCGAGTGGCTTTTTCAGCTTGTTAATTCATCACAGAGCACAAATAGCAGCGCTTTAAGCGGAAATAAATCGTAAGAACTGATTATCCAGACACTTGTTATTCGCGAAAGTGGCGGTTTCAATCAATCCAATTTCATTGAGATCATATATTGGCAATACTTTAAATTGCTTTTGGGCAAAGGGGTCTGTGATTTTTTCGGTAAATAAATAGCTTGTTATGAGAATAGCTTCAACTATGGCCGGTTGCACCATGGTACGCTGTTCAGTTACCAGAACTTTCTCATTCAACTTTCTGTAAAATTAAAAGAACGTACACCATCGAGAATATGTATGCTGTTAGTTGGGTAAATAAAACTGAAAACAAATGAATACAAATGTGAAATAAACTAAGTTCAGGGCAAAATGAAAACGAGCAACGGACGGTGCAGTTGTATTCGCTATCTCACCAACTAATGTACGGGAGAGGAGAAAACACAGAGTCCTCTGAAAATTACTAGAGAATTTTGCTGCTTCTGCTGCTTCCATAACAGCTCTTATTGTTTTATATTTTCGTTGCTCATCTTTGCTTGTTGCCAACAACAATGGACCGAACAAAACAAAGACCCAAAGTGACTTGGTTAAGTCATTAATGGAAATGCACTGCTATTGGGGCGAGTGGCATACAACCAGATGTACACTCTGGACATTACCCATGTGAAACGATGAGAAATGCGAAATACAGCTCAGGCTAAGGCATAGAATTTCATGAGTTCCCCTATATTAGATTTAAGTTCTTTTTAAAGTTGGCGTTAAAGTAAAGTACTAGGTATAACCAACATGTTAGACTGGCCCGAGTATAGTACTGATATCAAGTTGATGCAGTTTGTCAACATTTTGTGAGCTGCGTTGAATGCTGTTTGCGGCACGGTTTCAGCACAGCAGTTGACAGAGAGAAAAGTATTTCTTTGTATTTGCTTATGCAAAACTCATTTGGCTGCAGAAACAAAAGCTTTGTTGAAGGAAGCGTAATGCATTTCTAGGTTGTTATAATCTCCGTACAAACCGAGTGATGGGAACAGAGAGAGAGAAAGAGAGAGAGAGAGAGAGAGAGAGAGAAAGAGAGAAACTATTACATTTCAATCAAACCTGTTGAACTGTATGAAATCGCATTAAAAAATTCAATAACTTTGAGCGACATAAAGTAAACAAATAAATAAAATAAAATAATAGATTTCATTGAATACATTTCTCTGCACAACAAAAAAGCGAAGGTAAAGCTTGGCAATCAACCAAAAATAACTGATTAAATGCTATAATCGAATTGAAACTGCAAAAATTTAAATTGACAATTATTTCTGTTTATTTTAACAGCAGGCGGTACAGTTCCAAAAATTGCAAATATTCATTTAAATTGCTGGCAAACAAAGCTCAGCCACTCGATAATGTAAATATGTATAACAGCAAACTAAACTGTACGGCTACACAGACTGAACACCTCACCAAGGATATATGTATAATTTGTGGTGTCTATTAAAAACTTTTTACCCATATGCTCCTCAATTTTCTGAAATTTAATTAAAGAGAAACACATGTAAGGAAGGTCCGTACAAAAATTTAGTTTCCCTGTACAGTGCAATACAAAACTATTAAATATAGTAAGAGTTCTTATATATTTTGCAGAGGTATGATAATATTTATTTATATATATTTATTGAATTTGAATTATTGAAACTTCACTAGTGTGATATTGTGTTCCTATGTTACAATTCCCATATTAAATTCAGAAAATGTTAATAGAAATTATAAATATTTATTATATGCATATAGTTCCATTTAATTTATAGGCATCCTGAATGTAGAATAGTTAATATGGATAAACACTATCTAAGGATACGATTGAAGCTTAGAAGAATGTGCGCAACCAATATTGCCTTTTCTATTTTTCCATACGGGGTATTCAAATGAAAGGTGTAACAGCGCCCAAAGCCAAAAGTAAGTGTAAAACAAAGTTAAACAAACAAACCAAAACCTAAAATCATTTGCAGTTTCACATAGCTGAAATAGTTTACCGAATTTGCCCGGAGAGAACCACAAATAGTACAGCTGAAGTTTGAATAGTATGTGAGTGCTTACAAATGGACTTTGATTTGGTTTTGCCTCAAAGCAGTTCAAATGGATCTGAAGCATACAATGAAGCATACAATGCTAATATCACACCTTTTGAATAAAATCGACAGTGTTAACCTCTCCCAAAATGAACTACATATACTGCACATGAGATACAGATGAGAAGGATTTCACGGAGCTTAGCTACCAAACAAAGGTGAAACCGCTTAAAATGCTAAAGCTAGACAACAAAGACGATGCAGTTTCGTACATTTTTCAAAACTTTCAATGCGATTGTGCTATCGTGCCTTTTGCCAACAGGGCTTAAAAGTTAAAAGAAAAAATTGTGTTGGCCAAAACTTTCCCCGCAATTTATTTGGCAGAAGTGTGCAGTGCATAGACCACAAACAACAAATTCGGCAGGTTAACAAAAAGCAGAGAGTGCAAAGCCATTTCCATGTTGTCAGGGAACTGTATTTTCGTATTTTCTGTTTGGGAGCCCACATTTCTGGGCCATTTTTCGAGCATGCCCGTCCCGAGCGGGGCAAGAGGCAAGGCCGGGTGCTTTGAGGTAGCGTACATTTCAAGGATGGGAGGCATCATAAAAATAAATGAAAAAGGTCACTTTGTATTGGTTGCGAGACAATTTAACACAGGCAAATGTGTGTGTAACTGTAATTTGTGTGCTGTTCTTGCCAGCAGCAACAAATGAGGAACTACAACGCCCTCAACCAACACAGCACCCACATGCCACCACACACAATGTACATATGTAGCACATAGTAAATAGTTTCAGCTTGCGTTCCTTCCTAAAGGACTGGAGAGGGTAAATTTTTGGGGAGGCATAATTTCGCTTTTGCTTTTGCTGTTGCTGTTGCTGCTTTCGTTTGTGTGGGTAAAGTATTTATGTACCAGTAGCTTGTTGTTGGCTTTACATTTGTTGTCCTCACATACGCGTCCATATACAAACAACAACACGCACACATTTAATCCACAACAAAGTCCACACACATGTGGCAAAATGAACATGTTAAGTTTTCAACAGCTATAAATTATTTCTTCAACAGCCTCTCTGCTCTTTTTTCGTATATGTTAAACGATCCTAAATTAATATAATTTATTGTGGTCATTAGGACTGGCAAAGGCAGCCTTCATTTGCCTGGCTCCAAATACAAATGCAATCAAGAGCAGCAACAAGCAAGTTAATAGATACATAGGCCCAAACTTTATGCTTATACGAATACACTTCCAATGACATATATTACTTTAATTCAGGTCACTTCAGGTTACTTTTAACAATAATTTCATGCTATACACTACGAAAATCCTAATTATTAATAATTATTATTATTTTCACTTGATTTTCAGAACGTAATTTATCATGTATTCAAATAATTGTGTTTAGTTCCATTGAAACTTGGCGGTTTTGATAATGAACGGAAAGCTTTTAGAGTGTGTTAATTTTCTGCTAATTGGAGCACACATAATTTTGTTGTAATGGTTACAGCTATGCCATGTTATTCAGAGAGCATATTTATTTCTCTATAGTCGATTTGGTTTTGGAGAGGAGACAATTGAAGTATTATAAAAATATATATGTTCAGTATGTACGCGAAGCTGGTGGTATGGATTGTAAGCTGTCATCCAAGGTTTCGTCAATGACCGGTCGGTATTTGATGGTGGTGCATCCCTCGTCGCCCTCCGCAAATGTCAAAGTATGCTTACGCCAGTGATCCTTAAAGGCTTTCTTCTCTTGTCCCTCGATGGGAGCGCTGTAATCATATTCGTCCAAGCGCGCCTTGAAATCCTCACGTGCATGTGATCCACGCGACTCCTTGCGATTCTCCATAGCGGTGACGATATGCACAGCGTTGGCCAGCATATTTTGCAGTTCCAGAGTCTCAACCAGATCCGTATTCCACACCATCGTCCTGTCAAACACTTTAATATCCTTGAATGCCTTACACAATGCGATCACCTTGTCAACTCCTTGCTTGAGCAACTTCCCCTCGCGGAAAACAGCAGCATGCATTGTCATAGTGCGCTGAAGTTCAATACGCAAGGAGGCCGTTGTAGTTTTTCCATTGGCATGACGTAACTTTTTAAAGTTATCTATCGATGCGTCTGTGGCACCTTGGCCCACCTCGGGCGGATCATCGCCCGGGCAGTTGTTGGTTGTAATATCGATTGCGCAGGAGCGCCCAAAGACAATCAAGTCGAGCAGAGAGTTGGCGCCCAAGCGATTGGCGCCATGCACCGAAGCGCATGAAGTCTCTCCGCATGAGTAGAGACCCTTGACAATCAGCTCGTTGTCCTCATCGTCAAGAGTGAGCACGCGACCCTTGAAATCGGTGGGTACACCACCCATATTGTAGTGCACCGTGGGCAACACCGGCACCGGTTCCTTGGTCACATCCACCTTGGCAAATATTTTGGCCGTCTTCATGATGCCGGGTAGGCGTTCGCGTAAGATTTGCGGATCGATATGATGGAGCTGCAAGTGGACATGATCCTTGAGTGGGCCACAGCCATTCCCTTGTAGCACCTCCAGTGTCATGGCACGTGCGACAACATCGCGCGAGGCCAGATCCTTGGCCTGCGGTGCATAGCGCTCCATGAAACGCTCCTCCTTACAGTTGACAAAGAAACCGCCCTCGCCACGTACACCTTCCGTGATGAGACAGCCGGCTCCGTACATGCCAGTGGGATGAAACTGTACAAACTCCATATCCATCAGTGGCAATTTAGCTCGCGACACACAAGCGTTGCCATCCCCGGTGCATGTGTGTCCGGCAGTGGTCGAGAAGTAGACGCGTCCACAGCCACCAGTAGCAACTACAGTATTATTAGCGAGAAAGCGATGAAAGGTGCCATCGTTCAAATTCCAGGCCAGGCATCCCACACAGCGTGTCTCGGCCATAATTAAATCGAGTACAAAATAATCAACGTAGTAGTGGCAAAGATCTTTGTACTTAAGCGTCTGGCCGTACAGTGTGTGTATCAAAGCATGTCCGGTGCGATCGGCCACAGCGCAGGAGCGTCGAGCCACCCCGCCCGTACCGTAGTCAAGAGTCTGCCCACCAAAGGGTCGCTGGTAGATCTTTCCGTCCTTGGTGCGCGAGAACGGCATTCCAAACTGATCGAGCTCGTAGACAGCTTCCTCCGCCTCGCGGCACATGTAGTGTATGGCGTTCTGATCGCCCAGCCAGTCGCTGCCCTTGACCGTGTCGTAGAAGTGGAATCTCCAGTCATCAGAGTCCATATTGCTCAGTGCCGCATTAACGCCACCTTGGGCCGCCACCGTGTGGGAGCGTGTGGGGAATAACTTGGACAACATCGCCGTCTTGAAGCCATGCCGGGCCAGCTCGAAGCCACAACGCATTCCGGCCCCACCAGCCCCAATCACAATTGCATCGTACTTGTGATCGATAATGTTATAGTCTGCATCACAATCGTGCAGCTGCTGCGACACATGAAAGCAACGATATGAATTTCGAATACAGCCTTCAATGGCTTGTGCTTTTAAGAAAATCATAGTTGTCAAAAGAACTTTAATCACATACAAAAACAATATCTTACTATGTACACAAAATTCTCAAAGTATACTTTCTGAACTATATGAATTGGGATAAAATAAGTGCAGAGAATTGTTTAACACTGAATAGAATAGAAACGAAATCCATTTTAAAGCACCTCAACTATTTAAGAAAATGTAACCCGTTTATATAATTACCTCGAGTTGATGGTCTAGGTTAGAACACGTTAATAAGACATTATGCTAAATAAATAAATAGTCCGTTTAATGGCTTCAAGTCGGGCACTGAATGCTCGAACTACAGTTCAGACAAGTTTGAGGCCGAAATCATTTTGTTATTTCAGCTGGTATTTGTGAAGTAACACCATTGCTAGCATTAGTTAGTTAGTTGGCTATTATCATTGTCGACGTCATCTTTCTACTATTGGACGAACTAAAAGCTAGCCATTTCCACGAAAATCCTCTCAGCGGCAAGCAGAACGAGCACAAAGAGGATGGCAAACGGCGATGGTTGCAAGCAGTTGATTGCCATGGCAAACAAAGATCGGGGCATCGGAGAGGGGCGGTACACGGTCGGCGTTTATGCCCATGTCGGACAGTGTAAACATACTTAAGATAAACGAAAACACGAATTACACCGCTTTTTAGCCCGGCCAGACGAGGGCACAGCGAGCCAACATGTAATCCAAACAACGCAATATGCAAATGCGGTCTTCTATTAGCAAATACACATTGCCGACATGTTGTTGGTAGAGGTTGGTAGAGGCAGGTCCTAGGCAGCGCCAGGGGCAGAGCAAGGCGATAAACGAAAGACTTGGAACACGAACTCGAACTCGAACTTGAACTCGAACTTGGGCAAGCGCATTCTACATGGCCGTGGATATTCCCGACGGCAGCTCAAACACCTAATTGCTCTCGGCCTGCTACAAAGGATACTTGTGTCTCCTGTCCTTTGTGTGCCTGTGTTTGTGCTTGTATCTATCTGCCGGTCGGTCGATCTGACTGCCTGCCTGCTTACCAGGACGAGCGTATGTGCGTTTCCGTATGTTTGGTTTATGAGTTTACAACCTCAGCCTAATTGAGGCGGGGAAATTCGCTTAGGCCCGCCATAAAATCGAATTGTTTGCAAACACAAGCAGAAAGGATTCGCCATAAAGCGGCACAAAACGCACCTACAATACGGTGTGGTAAATATTTAGGGCAAGGTCACAGCACGGAATGGATTGAGCTCGTCTTTCCAAGTAAGACCAGGCACGAGACCGATACCCATTCCTCCCATTCCGAAGAACTGTTCGCATTGCATTGTTAATGAAACTGCAACAGGCTCGTGGTCTTGGATAAGCAACCAGGAGCAGGGAAATGAGGTAACCCATTAATTGCATTCCCGTTTTAAGCGATTCAGTTTGATCGAAAATCAGTCGGATTCAATTTGTCATGTTGACTACGCTTTTAGATACAATATGTTTGCAGCGCTTTTTCCTATTTGATTTCTTTTTTTTTTATTCAATCTCATAGTTTTGTTGACTCTTCTCATTTACTCAACTGTACCGCCGAGTTGTGGGCCTTTGGACGTAGCAGTGCCTCTGTTTGCATTTCAGCTCCACAGACCGATCAATATTTTCCCCAATCCCCCAGCACAACGGTGGCGGTCCATTGACACGCGGCGGCGACTTGAGAAAGAGGAATTCATCGTAGATCGAATCGTTTTGCCAGTGGCTCAAAAGTCAGCAGCACAGCAAACGCGCGTGATCTTCAAAAAACACGAACAAGTTATAAATAATTTCAAAACAGAAGCAATAGCAACAGTTAATAGAGTCTCCAACATCTTGCCACAAAGTGTAATATCGATTTCTTTTGTATCACTAACACAAAGTGTCGCCTTTTCTTCAAACTAGTTTGCATTTGAAACCAAGTAGTTATTAAGGTAATAAATAAAATTATAAATAAATAAATTGTGTTTCTTTTATGCCAAAGTAATATGTGTTAAGGCGATCGCTAAATCATCTACAAATATATAATTCCAATGCGAAATCGTCAAGTCATTGTCAATATACATCGATTGATAAGATCCATTAAAATTGAAAGTTTTTGTGGCTAGTTAAATTGTTTATTGTTAAAGGTATGTTTATTCAGATTTATATATATCATACGTATAAAAGAGTATTCAGATTTCTACGTAAAAATGCGATTCCATACTGAATTTCAGTGACACCAAGATTTTGAATAGCTTTGATTTGTAAAGCAAAATCTCGTTTGAATTGTATTTAATTGAATCGAATTGAAGCATTGCTAACACCGCAACCAAATCGAAACGAGTTCGCCTTTTCAGTTGGTATATTAACCCCAACGTTCAGCTCCGCCCCGTATCGGTGTATGTACATATTTTTTTCCAATATACATACATCTATATATATATACATACATACGTATTTCGGCCAGTACGTATTTTGGGGTACATACATACGTTGTGGTTAAATGTTTACAACTTAAAATTCAGCTGAAAATTGAACAAGAGAAAAAAGTGTGTAGAGAAAAATGCTTTGAACGGCAAACCAGTTTTAGGTGCAGACGCAGGCCAACAACAAACAAACGCCGTGGAAAAAATATACAAAGTTTTAATTGGCTGCGCAAACAAAAGCACGAAACGAGAGTCTAAACAAATTGAAGCCACTCAGTCGGCGGTCAAAGTAACGAACACAACGCATATATAAATCCAAATCGTACGTACGTATGGATCTGTTGGTTAGTTAGTTAGGTGGTCGAATATCAGTTTATTTCATAATTTATTAAAACACCTTGCACTTAATAACTGGCGCATGTAAAGCTCGTATTGACAAAGATACAGAGAGAGACAGAGAGAGAGAGCAAGAGAGAGAAACGCTCAGGACTTGTATCGAGTCTCCACTAGGAGGTCAGGCGGCGATCACGTTTTAAGCGAACGCATTGAACGATCGACTTGCTCATGTGCTCATGAATGATGTTCAAAATCGGAAACCTGAAACTGAGGCTTCTTTCGACCCTACCTGGCTGTCGGGTCCAAAGCGATGGCGGGTAGTAAGATCGAGCGAGAGGTGCGTTCGCTGCTCGCGCTTGCCTGTTAGAAGGTGTGGCTAAGCCAGTTTGCACAACGTTTGTGATTCATTGCGAGTGCGAGTGCGACTGGCAGTGCGAGTGCGAGTGGGACGGCGATTGCCTGACACTCATCGGCAATGGCTGAGAAAGAGTTGAATCAGCCAGCCATTGAGCCAAACGCGTAAACAAGATGGCAAGTCGGCCAAAAAAGAGAAATAGAGGTACAAGCGAACGCCGACATCTAAAAAGCAAGCACGGCTTGTGATGGTTGAAAAAATTAGCACCGATCGTCAATCATTAGCCAGGGAACGGTGGCAACGCAAACAACGATCGCATTCGACGGCGGCCCGAAAATCGACGACGGCAACTCGAAAAGTCCCACAGAAAAATCGGCGCAAACGTTTAGCGATTCTCTCTTCCTCTTAGCGTCTGCCAAATCGGTATCGGTGAACTTGCGTGGAAAGTGCAACCCAAAACTGAACAAAAAAAAAATATTAAAAAAAAAGAAAAACTATTGAAAATATATAGCTACAGTGATTTGTGGCTGGTGTGTGACTTAGTGCGTGATCTAAAAAATCGGGGAATTTGATTCAAGTTCTGCAAAGGATTACGAGAAAAAGTGCTGCCGGTGAGAGCCGGAATATACATTTCACAATAAGTAAGTTTTTTTTATATGTTTTGTACGTTTTTATGTTTTTTATGTACACATATTTGTGTGCTAATTCTACTTGATATCGGTAAATGTCTATAAGCATATATTTAATTTATAAATTTTACCAAATAGCGAAGGCGAATATCGAATATTACTTAAGATTTACCAAACAAAATAGTTAAAAACTGTTAAAATCCAGACTATCAAAATAATCAACTCCATCCATGAATATATATATATTCGAACTAATTCTGAATGTGACTTTACCAAACTATGGTGTTATTTTATTCTGCACAGAAGGTTTTTAAAATTTCTATAGAGAAGTGTCATCTGAGTAAAATGTTTATCCAACCTAGACACAGTGAAAAATCAATTTTCCGACAATATATATCTATATGGCGTACAATGAAACACAATAGAAAATAATTATGGGCTTGGAGCTCGATGCATGAAAACTCTTAACTGTAATTATTTTGGCCAAAACATCATTAATATCAAAAACGGTTATTACAACAAGTAAGGTGTTGACTAATAGATTATATTTTATCGACTAAATAAAATGGAGATTAGGCAATAACATACGCAAGTTAATTAAAAGAAAAAGACAAAAACATATCTATCATGTTTTATTAATTATTGTAACTTAAATGCTGAAAAAATGTTTTGTATTAGAACAATGAGCGATAGTTTGTCATCTATGATGACATGCTTCTTTAATAGAAATAGTTAGTTGTTGTTAATTTGTATTTTCATATATTTAGACAGCAGAAGTTTTATGCAAATTTTCAATTGGCAAGCCCATTTAAACATACGTGTGAAAATCAAACATTGAATTCAAAGCGACAAAATTTACAAAACACCAAATTTGACACCCAAAATCTATTCCACACTTCTCCAAAATGAAACCAGCAAGTGACAAAAACTGTTATTAATGATCCTAATAATAACTCTAATAATATAAAACAGCAGCGTCAGCTACCCACGCGACACCAGCCAGCAGACTCTAGGGGCTCGAAACGCAGCCGCTGCCAAGCAAAATGTTCACACGCAAATTAGGAGGGACATAAGAATTTGCTTGTGCCGACACCGCCGCAGGCATTTTAATCGGCCACGGCAACAACAATAACAACAACAACAACAACAACAATCAGCAGCAGCAACAGTGGGGGACCCATAACACACAATTGGCCAGCTTAGCTATGCCAACCAATTACGACGCATGTGAAAATTATCCTATTAAATACAAATCAAAAGAACCAAGGAATTTTCACCTCCGACCATATCGGGGTAACCGAGCCGCAGTCGCCCCCTCACCCCACTTCCCCCCCGCGACCATTCAGCGCTGAGCTTTAGTACTTGACAAATGCTTACTAATTAATTACAGTTTGTACAAAATTTTAGTATGCGTCTCATAAAGTGCGTTTATCAACGGTTATCCGCCAAGCGTGAAATGTGCAGAAAACAAAAGTGTGACAATACCGTTTTGAACTGCCACGCCCACCCTTAACATACTAAAGGAGTTGACCTCAAGTCAGTTTTGATCCGCCGTCATCATGCATGACTTGTCGTGATGACCGATGTGCAATGAAATAAGATACACAGCCAGAAGCTAAACTTAAATGTGGTTTATTTTCATGTAAAATGAAGTGTGAAATTTAGCAAATCTGTTTAATCGCCACCGATAAGTTGTCAGTCTGTTTCAGTGCCACCCGCCAGCGGCATTTAGAGTTGGCTCATCCTGATCAGGTGTGAAATGCAACCGCTTCGGGATATCCGAATTCTTTCAACGATTGTGTTCAACATAAAATGCAGATAAAATATATCAATATTAAAGCCATTAAAAGCAGGTTAAAATCAAAGTTGGACATTTGGTCTAAAGCAGAAACAGGGTCTCCATTATGTATTATGCTTATAATATTCAAATATATAACTACTGAACTTCCTTACTATTAATTGGTTAACAAATCTATGCACCTAAAATTTAATTATATTTACATTTTTTAGTAATAACAAAAATAAAATAATTCAATTTTGAAATGCATTAATAAATATTTTGCATCAGTAAACTAATTAAAATTAACAACTAATTTAAATAATCATTAAAAGTGTTTAAAATATATGTCAATTGCTACTTCATACGTACATATGTATCTCTAAGCCTTTTGATTTGTCTCTCAAACGTAAGTTTGTAAATACCTATGAAGGGGGTATTATAGAAAATGGTCTGAGTAAACATCAAAGTCACGAAATCATTCAAAAATCAACATCCCAAAGTGGATGGGGTAAAAACTCCAACCAAAAGCGTCATGGCAGCCATCAAATTTTAAAGTTAAAGTACATAGGCACACACGTTCACAGATACACACACACACACACTCACACACACACACACATAGTGGTATACCACGCGAGTTTAGACAGCACACAAAAACCGCTTTTCATTAGGCTCAGCGATGGATGAACGGTATAAACTTGTGTTGGAATACACAACAAAACTTACCAAATTTTATACATGCATAGATATGAGTTGCATACATACAAATACATATGTACTGCGTATGTGCATATAAGTAGATGCACATTGTGGTATAAACACACAGGCGTTAGTTATAATGCAACACCAATGAATATAATATGGAAATGATACATTTTTAATTAAATATGTCTCGGCTTTCAGCTTACAGCATCCACTTAAATTCCATTAAATTTGTATTTATATTCTGTTTTTATTATTTGTCAAGGTAAAATGGTTGTGCTAAATCAGTAATAAAAATTATAATCTTTTATCGCAATCTAATTAATTGACGCCCTTTATATCAGTGACTAATTCAATCACGATTAGGGAAATATATTCGTTTGGAGGCATTAAATTACATTTATAACAAATGACAGAGATATTCACAGGCATTTTGAGATGAGAAGCTGCCCAAAATAAATCAAAACCAGCCAGAATAACCAACACTTCGGGATAAGTTGGAAGAACAATATGTTCTAAGCATCTGACCCATAAATATCCTAGCTGAAAGTTTGGGGTTGAATTCATGTGGTGAGGTTCTGCAAGCACCGTCGGCATTTCACCTCCAATATCGTAGCGCAATAAAAACAAACAAAACAATTAATACATTTTGTTAATTTATGATTACAAAACATTGCGAGAAACACTTTCAGTGCCAGCCCAGAATTTAGACATCACCAGGCAGATTTTAAGCGCATTTTGTTCTTTTTTTTCACCGCCGCTGCTTTTTTACAATACGAGTACTGTGCCGGGCCCTGGCCGTAACAGCGGCTGCCTACCCGGAGTAAACAGAGGTGTTTGTTGCTGTTGCCACGGCCATAAATAAAAAGGGTGCCCGCTGTTTATGGCCAGCAAGCATCCAAGTCTCTGTCCGAGGTTTGTCAGAGTTTGTGAGAGTCGGTATGAGTCTGAGTCTGAGTCTGAGATTGAATTGGAGTCTCAGGCATGGGCAAGGCATAGCTAAAGTGTGCAATATAATTAAAAGCCGACAACAGACTTGGCTTGCCCATTCTTCTAATGCGGCTGACACAGCGCTGTAAAGGTATAAAGTGCTTGAAAGATGCGTCGGCCAGGCAGGTCAAACGTCTTTGATGTAATTCCAATGTCAATTTAAAAAACCCTGTATATTCGAATAATTCACATTCTGTGAGTTGTTAAAGCATCTCTAACGAAATATTAAATTAAAAATTAATTTATCTAAAATCTATGCCCAGGAAGCTGTTTGACGTGCTTTTAATTAAAGTATATTCAGATAAATAATAAATCTAAGGAAAGATCAAAATATTATTAGTCAAATCTTAAATTCAAATAAGACTTACAAAGTGAAAATGTAATTCAATAATAAACAATAAAGAATGTCTATCTTAGTTACGCCGAGGATTCAATGACAAGGGTGAATAGAGTCAATTTATTGGCATTTAAATTTTAGTCAGCAGCTTTATAATAATTTTAATTCTAGGTTTTCCGTTTTACAACTGGCTCTGAACTAAATATTCTGTATCAGACATGAATGTCGTACAAATCCCGATGCTCGAAATATATCGGATTAGGGCTGCTGTACGCGGGGAGTAAGCCCCGTCGACACACTTGCACCATATTTGGCTAATTATGCTACCGCAATGGGCTTAATCTCCTTAATGTTTTCATAATCCTGTGAACAGCTTGGTATATAGGAGTGTAAAAAATCCTGTGGCCAGCGAAAGACATACTTCAGTTAAAAAATTAGGTCACCAAACAATAAACAATTAATCCATTAAAACCATAGAACTTAAAAACTGAGCGAGTTTCTCATTTAAGCAACAAACGTTGAACAGATACACAAGTGGACAGACGGTCATGGCTATATCGATGGTGAGAAAGAAGCCTTGTATAAAAAACAATCATGTGCGATTGTGTATAGAGCTAGGACGGCACTTGATTTTAGGATTGCAACTTTGACATCGTTTTGTAATAAAGTACTAAAAAAACCGATTTTACACACATAGTTTTAAATTTTTTTATAATCGATAATAGATCAAATTTAATTTTATGAAACTAATTCTGTTTTCATTTTACAGCAGAAATGACCACATCCCATATCTTGTCCGCCGTGGATCCCACAACCGGCCTTAATGGAAATGTGGCAGCTGGCGGTAGCAATGGCGGCGGCAGCGGCTCTCCCTCCCCCCAGCATGCTGTGCACAATGGACATGGCCATGGACATGGACATAGTTTAGGGGGTGTGGGCGGTGCAGTTGCCATGGCATCGGCAGGCGGTGCCGGCGGTGGACATCGCATTGGCGGCGGTGCTGGTAGTCCCAATGAACTTGATCGCAATCTGCGAGTCTCGCTGGATGATCGAGAGCTGTGGCTGCGCTTCCAGAATCTGACCAACGAGATGATCGTCACCAAGAATGGCAGGTTAGTTGTGAGTCAATTGTTGTTGTAGTTGTTGTTCTTGTTATTGTTGTTGTTGTGCTCCGAGGCCCTTCTTTTTGCAGTTGAACATGTTAAATGGAAGTTAACGTGGCCAACAAAATCGATGCTGGCGATTGCGGCGCATTTTGTTTTCCTATGCAAATTGGCAATGAGTTTTTTTTTTGCGCTTTTGTTTTTGCTGCAATGAATTTTCATGTGGTGCTGTTTGCACCTTATAATGAAGCGTTAACGTTTCTATAGCTCCGCATATACAAATATGAGCACACTCACAATACACATCTACACATATTTGTATGTATCTATTTACATGCGAGCGTTTGTCGAAATAACTAAAAATATTTACCAACCAGTGCATGTATATATATATATATATATATATATATATATATATATATCTGTGAGTGCGTGTGTTCGTGTGCGAAACGCGCTTAGAACTTGGACTTCACCGCCCCGGTGTCCGGTCTCTGGTCCCGGATAGGTGCTAATTAACGCGGCCCGGCAACAGCCGCCATCTTGTACTAATTGTTGTGGAACAGTGCGCGGACGGCGCGTTTCAATATTTGTCCGAAACTGACACAGAGACTGACACCGACGGGGAGTTGTGGGCTGAGAGGCAAAACCATTCAAGTGGTTGCTGCCTGCTTCTGTTGCTGTTGCTGTTGCTGCCACTCTCAGAACACGAGTACAGCATTACTGGCCACTCTATAAGTAGAGCCTGTGAACGGGCCATGGCAAACCAGGCAAACCAGACCAGACCATGAGCAACAAAATGCAAAAGTGGAAAAATGGAAATGCTTTGGCATTCGACCGTCTGTTTGCCACATAGAATATTCATATTCAAGACTGCACCCATTTTAATTGTGATACTTTTTGGTATTGTTCTTGCAGGCGAATGTTTCCGGTTGTGAAAATCAGTGCTTCTGGCTTGGATCCGGCAGCCATGTATACGGTTCTTCTCGAGTTTGTTCAAGTGGACTCACATCGCTGGAAGTACGTCAATGGTGAATGGGTATGTATATGAACCAATTTGCCAGCAAATTTTAATTGGAAAACAATTTTTAATTAAAAATTTGATGATAAAATCATGTTGTTAAAGTCCGATTTTGTAATATTCATTTTTGAATATAGTTCAACGATATATAATTAACTTTTGAATATATCTAAAACTGACTGCCATAAGTATTTTGAATGCCAGAACCTTTTTAAAGAATTGTAACACTTTTAATCTTTACTAAAAATATAGCATTTTTGTATTTTAAATTAAATTTATTAATTTAATTGTGAAAAATTGATATTAGAGAGAAAGATTTTAAGTCTGCAAAGATGGTGAAATAAATGCCAATGAAATAAACAAATTAGTTTATTGTTTCAACTGATATATTTTGAGATTTAAGTGTTGCTAGAAGCTTGTCACGATTTATTCCAACTGTAATTGACAATAAAATATCTGACTGTGTAAATTGCTTGAGTCTAAAATGTTTTTATTTATTTATTTATATTGACAGGTTCCAGGTGGCAAGGCAGAGGTGCCACCCTCCAATCCCATTTATGTACATCCCGAGTCACCCAATTTCGGTGCCCATTGGATGAAGGAACCCATTTCATTTGCCAAGGTCAAGCTGACAAACAAGACGAATGGCAACGGACAGGTGAGCTTAAGTCAAGCAATTTTATGTGTTTATATGCCCAATATAAATGTCCATCTTTATACAGATAATGTTAAACTCATTGCACAAGTACGAGCCGCGGGTGCACCTGGTTCGAGTTGGTTCCGAGCAGCGTCACGTGGTCACATATCCATTCCCAGAGACGCAATTCATTGCGGTCACTGCGTACCAGAACGAGGAAGTCACCTCACTCAAAATCAAGTACAATCCATTCGCCAAGGCCTTTCTTGATGCCAAGGAGCGTCCGGATACACTTTATCCGCACGACACCCACTATGGCTGGCTGATACCCCCACCAAGTCACTATGCAAGTGCCGCAGTTGCTGCTGTTGCGGCACCACCACCACCACCACAGCTGCCCATGGCCCAGCCGCATACCCTAGTGGCATCCCCATCAGCATCCAACTCCTCCTCCTCATCGGCTGCAGTCTCGGGCAGCTGCGATCGCTACGGTCGCACACTGTCCTCACGCAATCCAGCGCCAAATCGGAGCACACCTTACAGCCGGCCACGCGTTGTCTCCGGTTCCGGTTCGAATGGCAGCATAGGCAATGGCTCCTCTTCATCGCCGCAGCCACCATCGGCACCACAGACACCGACCAGTCTCCAATCATCGATTGGGTCGGTTAGCACCAGTAGCAGCATAAATACCAATGCGAGCAGTGGTGCCAGTGTTGCCAGTGGTGGTTGCTTCACCAGTTCCTATTCTCAGCCTGGGTTTATACCCGTAGAAGGCGGCTCTACGGCATCGGTATTCTCGTATCCCAGCAGCTGGCAGAGCAACACCAACTACTGGAGTACGACAAGTGTTCCTGGTCCAATGCCCATGAACGTGTGCAGCAGTCGCAACATCTGTATGTGCCACACATCCAACATTTGATCATAATCAATCTAATAATAATTATAATCCTCTTGGCAGCCACTCACAATTCACCCTCGCCCACGAATGGCTCACCGAGCTATACGACGCCCTCGCCGGGATATACCATACACCATCTGACGCCGCATGGCCACCAGTACAACATGGCGCAGACGGATCTGTATGCGAGTGGAGGGGTTTCATCGGGCTCGCCACAGACGTATGGTGCAACCACACATCAAGTGTACCATCCCACGCCCACCTCCCCCACCCACCAGCTGTACACAAATGTGCTGAATGCATCCTCGGCATTGAGTTACCCGACTAGCAGCTGGCACAATGGCTCTGGTGCCGATTATGGACTCTACCAGAATTCGGCTCCTGCGTACTACCAGCCCGAGTATATACCACTTGAGATTGGGTAAGTGATGGGGCGACCAGTTGAAACGCGAACTCTGCACTCATATCGCTAAAGTAGCTATCAATGATTCCACTCTCGAATCGCGAACTATGTATTTTACAGCTATGCCACCACCCACCCGCTGGAGCCAGTGGACGTCACAAAGACACTCGATGAGTCACAGAACTCCATGTATAAGCCAGCTGAAGAGCAGAGTTCCGTCATCACTCTGGAGTGCGCCAGTGCCAGTCTAAAGGCCACTCACAACAATCACAGCAACGACATCAAGCTGGAGTCTCTCGAGCACAGCGTGGATCGTGGCGTTGTTCCTGCCGTCCCTGTGCCCCTACCTGTGCCCAGTCTGCAGCCAACAGGGGTGCCCACATCTGTGGTAACCGCTGTCAGTGCAGACACATGGACACCGCTAACACCACCTCAAAGCACCCTGCAGTGATGACTTGCAGAAATACAAAGCCATACAGCCAGCCAGCAAACACCCCAGCCTTTAGACGCATGAACCCTTAGGATGGATTGAGTTATTGACCGAGTTCGATTTTAAGACCTTTATTACTAGTACCCCAGCATGCAAAGTACACTATAGCAAATATTTCACTCTAAAATATTATAATGTAACATGACTTTCCATTATGTTCTTATTAAATTACACATAAATATATGCTTACTTACTTTATCAAAGTTCTTCCAAAAAACTTACGACCAATTCAATAATAGCTTGTCAAAATGTAAATAGTAAGTAACAAATTGCTGAGAATATCTTGAAAAGTAGAAACGTTTTTAATGCAAAATGCTGTAGTCTTCAATCTGCAACAGCCCAACCCAATTTAATGAAATTTAACTTAAGCAATTAAATATTCATTTTTCCTTTACGCAACGCATTTTTTAAACACAAACTTTTCTTTTACATTTCTCTTTCTTCAACTAATCTTGAGCTATTCCATGGAATGGGCGATTTTTTTTTTCAATTTTATATTTTAATCATGATTAAGATATTATTTTTAACAATCCTTTCCCAGCACAGAACAAAACAGAATTATACTTTGCCCGCAGTTTATTTGTCAACAGAGAAACATTTAATGTGGACCAAAACTAGTTACCAACTACTGTTGGCCAATCAAGTTTTAAACAATGGAGCCTTCAAGCGCAGTCAAACCTACATGGGGGCTAGACCACAAAGTGTTCTCCGGGCGGCAATCTGCCAGCTTTACGAACTGAAATCCATGAAGTCAAGAACACACAAAAATGCACCACAGAGCGACGTGACAATAATGACTTGAATTGCATATACAGACATATTTATATATGTAATATGTATGGCTAAGTATATAACTTGGACGATTCCACTGAACAGCTTAAAGTTGAAAATAAAGGGCAATGAATGTGCCATCATTACACTTGCTGCATAACTGGACATAAAAGCAGCTACACACACCCAGACCAGATGTCCAGGTTCAGGAGTGCAATTAAGAATACATGCCAGAACCATTTACGAAGGAATGCGTTTCTGCAGGGCACCAACTCCCCAACTCGCCAACTCACCAACTGCGCAGCTTCGCAGCTGCTATGAAGCCAAGGCAGAAAAGTACGTTTAACGTTAATGTGAGAATGAAAGTTAAAAACAACAGCTGCCGCTGAGTACTCACCTGGTAGTCCATTGAATTGCCGTAGCCCATGTGATTGCAGGAGCACGAACAATGCTTAATATGATGCTCCAGCTCATCATCCAATGCGGCACTGTGGCCATAACAGGCAACTGCCAAATCCTGATGATATTTGAACTGTTCACGTCCCAAGCCCAAGCCCAGTCCGAATTCCCAATCGCTCTCCCTTTCCTGCTGCTCAGCCAACTGATTTGTAGCCGTTGACAGACCCATCATGCCAAGTGGCTGACCAATAATCTGTTGCTGCTGCTGTTGCTGCTGTTGTTTCTGCTGCTGTTGTTGTTGTTGTAGTTGTTGTTGTTGTTGCTGCTTTTGATAGATGTCAGTTGGAGCACTCTCACAGGCAGCGCCAGTCTCTAGAGAAGTGGATTTTAATATGCGCTTGCCGTTTGTGGATTGCATTGCCCGACTCCGATTCCGATTGGGACTGGGACTCTCTTGCGCTGTTAATGTTAAGCTTGCGCCGCGTAAGAGAGAACGCTCAAAGCTTTTGGGCCTGTGAAAAGCTTCGTAAGCAACAGTTTCGTCCTCGACATCGCTGTGTGTGTGATAGCGTCTGACTGGCCCACCAGTTGCTGCTGCTGTTGCCGTCGCTGTCGCAGTTGCCGTCATTGCCGTACTGGCAGCAGTTAACATTAGGCTGAGACGCAGCAGCTCATTGGAGTCAGCTGGCGGCAAGGGAACACTGCACGATCCCGTCTCTGTGGCACTATCGATTGCGTCCGCTTCGAGTGCTTCTCCATTGGGTGGCTCATCCGAGTTATTCGAGTCCAATTCCAGTTGTTGCTGCAGCCGGGCACGCTGACCAATTATTGAGGCAGCCGTAGAGTTGGCGCCATATTTCCAATATGTCTTATTCGTGCCAACGATGCGTTGGAGTTGTGGCGTCGTCGAGGCCGACTGTGTCGCCTGTGCTTGGGCTGCATTGCTCTGCTTCTGCTTCTGCCGCTCTAGCTGCTGCAGCGTCTTGAAGGTCTTGCGTACGGGCTGTGTGTGGTGCAGGGTGGCACAACGGCGCATTGGCGGTGGTGTGTACACGGGTGAGACACTGTAGCTGTGCGAATGGCGGGATGGCGACAGAGATCCACTTGATTTGGCACCCACCAGGCGTGCCTTTAGCTTCTTGCCGAAGCCCACTCCACCACCACCTCTGCCCCCAGGACGTGGTGACAACGAGTGCGCTGAGAGGGATAGCGCGCGGGTAAATTTCAAGCGAGCGCTGCTGGCGACACTGCCGGCGGATTGGCGCTGAGCCGCAATCAGGTGGCACTCGTCGATGGTGGGCAGCTTGAGCAGATGTGGATGCAGTTGAGCATAGGATAGCGCCGGCTTGGCATTGTCCAAACTGTTAGTAATGCTGCCATTTTCTGGTCCACCTGTTGGCAGGGGTGCCTCGAACAGATTCCGTTGGCTGAGTGCCAGAAACTCCTTCTGCTCCTCCTCCTCGAGCGCCTTCAGCGCACGCAAATCCCATTCCCCAGATGTCATTGTCGGTGGCAAGCACTTGATATCATCATAAACACAATCACAGACAACCCCAGCACAGTCTTACCACTCAATCTAACAGTATTCTGCTTGAGAACGCAGCCAAGTTTCGCAATTTCACACTCACATTTTGGCGACGCGCTTGATTTGACGCGCAACAATTTTGGTTACCGTTAGCAGACAAGGCTATTGGCGCACTGAACACTGGCAGCCAGCAACACCGTTACTTTATAACGGTCATGCGGGCAGCATGCTAAATGGCATCCACACACAATGTGGAACATAAGTGACCTAGCTTAACATTTGAGTCAGTGTGTCGCTCTGTTAATCGACTGCACTGAGAAAATGCCTTCGTTCTCGCCAGCTCCTTCAAATAAATGATATCAAATTTATATTTACATATATTTCACTTATATTATTAATCATTATCGGCGAATCCAACCATGAATAATGACTGGTTGAAAAATGCCCATGCTATTGAGCTAACATTTACACACCAACTTGTCTCGAGGATGCGAGGATTTGATGTGACCCATTTGGGGGTTAAGTTTGAGAAATCTATGTGTAAATTCATTGGAAGCATGCTTTGAATTTGTCTGAAAATCAATTCGTGCGGGTGTCAAATAAGGGTTCAAGTTTGCATGGGTCAAGGCTTAGATTTTTATTAATCGGCTTTTAGTTGAAAGCGACACGTGCTTCACAAAATAGTTCGAGTTCAAAGTGCAAAAGCCTGTTGGAACACATTAGTATGCAGGTATATTAAATTAGGAAATAATTGCCTAAGTTACTAATTATTGTCACAATAACGATAATTACACTGCATTTGCGATAAATGAATTGACTGAGGACTCTCTCAATATGTATGTATGTGTGTGTGTGTGTGTGTGTGTGCATATGATATATGTTTGGGCACAACACGGCAAGTGCTAATGACATAATGCTAATGTCTGTCACTATGAAATATGCTCAAATATTCATTCCAGATCCCATTGTGTAGTGGGCAAAATGACAGTTTTTAATGTCAGCAACGACATCCGCAAATGTTACAATGGCCTGGCCATATATTTGTATGCACACACACACACACACACACACACACACACACACACACACACACACACAAACACACACGAGTGTGTTGCAAATACTTATATGCTGTGCAAGCTGCATTCACAAGAGAGCCCATCCTTCATCTTGATGTATGACCATCACTTCTTAGCTGCTCTCACCGAATTGTGTTAATGAAATTCAAGCAGATCTTATACTATATACATGCACACGTATTTGTGTGCTGCAAGGTTGCTGCCACATAAAAAGCACAATATATTAAATTTATAGCATTTAATATCAGAAGACAAAATTATGGCGTCAAATTGTAACAAATATTAAATTTACATGTGATGTGCAATTAGCTGCTGTGGATTTGTATAAATGAGAGCGATCAAATCAGAGTTTCGCCCTACTTTAGTTCCTTCTAGGGCTAATATTCTAAATAATATAATTAAATATTTTATAATAATTACATATATTTTAATAGATAATTTGGTTGAAGCTAACTTTTGCTGACTGCAGGCCTTATGTACTTCTGCATATTTATGTTTAATGTAAAATCATAATTTATGTATGTAAACTATGCTGCAATTAGCATAAATTTAATGCAAATTTTGAGAAGAACACAGCACAATAAGTAAATATTTAATGTAGAATTTTGCAAATTATTAATGCACAAACGCGAATACTGAAAGCAAAAGTACATAAATTGTTTAACGCTGGCTTATTGAAGAACACATTAAAATACAAATTAAACATTTAATATGGCTGCTTGTTCAGATAATTTGCGAAACACATTAACTATTAACAATGTTTAATTAATAAGTAAACCAGATTATTTGCAAAATAAAAACAATGATTTCTTTTCAGTTTCCCTTCTTAAGAACTTAATACTATTCCATAATAACTTGTAAGCATTTATAAAATCAATTAGACAATTGATAATTCATGAAACTGGCTTCAACCATCTCAATTTGAACTGTGGTTTTGTAACAAGTTGCTTTTGGGTACCCATTAACTCGCGAATATTCTCAGTTGCCATATTTGATTTATTATCGTACTTAAATGGGTGAGAGCGAAAATATAGTAGTTTCTAAAATAAAAATTATGCAACCTAATTTGCCCAAGCCACAAATTTTCGTTGCAATGTACATTGTCGTGGGGCTGCTGCTGTTCTTGCTGTTGCTGTTGCTGCTGCTGCTGCTGCTGTCGCTGTCGCTGCTGCCTGCAAGCCATAAATTCAAGCAGAACACCAAGCTCACATCCTCCCTCCCCCGCACAGCCCGCTGCTCCACTGTTTGTGTACAGGCTTTTTGGGCTGAGAAACGCCCACACACACAGCATTGGCAAAGTTTGTGCGGCACAGCCACAAGCACAGGCCGGATGGCAAAAGTCTAGATCAGAAACAAGCTGCTGCCAGGCAAAGCCAAAAGTTGCAACAAGCGACCGTCAGTGCCACGACTTGGGCCGGGGTCACGGAGCATTCATTGGGGTTGGGCTTGAGGTTGGAATTGCTTTCGGGGTTTGGGGGGCAGCTCGGGCGCCTGTTGCGGCGCTGCATTTAATTTCATTCATGGCGATGTTGAAGTAAACGAGCCAAAATCGAATCGACTCCTCCACCAGAGCCACGATGTGTGTAACAGTAACAAAATTTAGAAACACCAACCCAGCCTCAGCCTCTCCTCGCTCATATGGCACTGGCAAAAATCAAATGCATACTTTTCGGCGCACAGCCAAAAGTCCAGGCAAACAAACAGCACTACAACACAAAGAGCGAGCAAGGCAAAAGTTATTGAATTGAAATTCAGTTTATGTTTGAGACAACAACGTAGTGTTTCTCATGTTTGCGCCACATGCTATCCGCTGTTAGTTTCCACTTCTTAGAACCACTTTTGGCCCTCTTTCACTTCGCTTATGAACTTCGACGTCTGCGCTCCTCCCGAGTGTGTCTGCCCATACAAATACACACATGTTCACACACACACACACACACACACATATGTCTATTAAAAGTGTGGAAGAGGGCAGAAAAAAGAAATGATTTGCAATCTGTTTGGCTTTCCACGTGGAAGCTGAAGCAAGTTGTTGTTGCACCTAACGAGCTCTTTCAATTTACGCTCCGAGTTCAGATTCCTTTCAACTCAAATAATTAGGTAATCTTGGATTTAAGTCCATTTACCTGACAGCAAATGAAAATTGTTATAAAAATTACGTTTAAGTGTAAGTTTAAATTAGAGTAGATTTTAAATAGTCCTAAAGACCATTTTTCGAGGGTATCATTTCAACATGAATTTCGAGTTCAACATTTAAAATGGGCTCACTTTTGACCAAGTTATGGACCACTAAAGTTTTAAGTTGCCTCAAAGAGCATTTTTAAATGAATTTAGAGTTCGCATAGCGTTTTCAACTTTGAATGCCGTTCTCATAAAGAGGTCAAACCTTGATGACAAAGCACTGATTTTTGAAAATCGGTGCGAAACCTGTCAAGTTACAAATCTACAGATCAGTAAGACAAACAAGTTGAAAATTTGACAGTCTTTTTATTACAGACATAGTGCTTAAAACAAGTCGAGTTGGATTCCTTAATATTTTCTAAAGAATGTCGCGTCGTCAGCAGGAAATACAGCGCATTGAGCGAGAGGTGCGTGCCAAGTTACCTTATCGCACCTTCCGCGAGATCACCTTCGATAGGGAGCAGATAAGGGCCAGCATTGTGCCGCTGAGTCTTATTGAGGCACGCAGGAGTCGGGGTCCCATCTACGATGCTCTGCAGGCCGAGCTGCGTCACGATGGCTGCAAGGTGATGCCGGAATTTGTGCGTTGTCTGGCCGAGAAGGAGCAGACCCTGTTTGAGTCGATCAGCATTCGGGCCCGCATCATTGACGATCGTCCGCTGCTCTACGAGATGATCGAGAAGCTGAAGCAGGCCGAGCTGGCAGTGATCAAGCGCAAGGTGGCCGGACTCAAGGAGTGCTTCACTCTCTTCTATGAGACGCTGCTGCTCCTCGAGCCCTATCGCCTCAAGTATGAGTATGTGCTCAATGCGGTCATGGAGCATGTTGTCTCGCTGTGCCACAACGTCGAGGGAGAGGAGCGAGATGCCGCCGAGATGATTGCTCGCATCTATCACAGGTATGCATTATTTCTGGAGCGCACTGGGCAGCGAGCGAATGCGATTACCTATCTGAAGGCCACTCTGGAGCTGGTCCGTGGACATATGTGGCTGTCGGAGCCGGAGATGGGCTCGGCCAGCCCCATTATGCATGTGCTGGTTGCCCAGCAACTGGCACGCCAAATGCTCCTCTTTGGCCGACAAACGGTGCGGCAACAGCCCGAGGAGGCGGTTGACATCGCCAGGAAGGCAACGGTTTTAATTGCCGAGAGTAAGTTGGAGCTGGAACACGAAGATAAATTGCAAAATTTGTAATAAATTTGTGTTGCAGTTGGTCGTGAAAGAAACTTGGACATCTTCTGCGACACGTTCCTGGAAAGGGCCTTCTTCCTTATGGAAGGCAATAAATATCATGCCGCCCAGCAATGTCTTGAGCTGCTTAGGCCACAAATAACCGCATGCACCGAGTACAAGTTTGTCAAGCTGAACATCAAGTTCTATTTGTATCTGGGCCAATGCGCTGAGAAGTGAGTAACTGCAACTGCAACTGCAATAATTCTTTCTTTAATGCGTTGCATCCACATAGCCTTGACAACCTCGCCAAGGCCATCTCGAGCTTTAAGCGAGCCCTGCGTATTTCCCGACTGTATCACCTGAAGAATCAGGAGGCCGAAATTCTGCTCAACTTGGGCAAGCTGTTTGCCAGAGACACCCAGACGACGGGCATTGCCAAGAAGTGCTACATTCAGGCCAAGAGCATTTACATCGACTACAACGATAATCACAGCAAGAAAACCGCTGTCTTCCTGATGGGCAAGCTGTTGGCCGATGAAATTACTCCACTTTATATGGCCATGCTGAAGGCATCGAGCTCTCAGTACTGCGCCTTCTATAATCTACGCCAGTGGAAGAATCGCTGTCGTCCATTCTGGCTAAAGCTGGGCGATGAGATCATCAAGCAGGAGTCGAACAACATTTACTGCCTACTTCAGGAGGAGCAAGATGATCCCAAGAATGAGCCCCTCATCATCGACTTGGACGACGACACATTCAAAGTTGAGGAGGGCGATATATAAAACACGATTTGTGTCGAACTTCTGTTGATTTACTGACTAAAAATTGTATTTGATGTAGAAAAGACTTTGAAAGAAATAAAATTATCCATTATTTGGAAAGAAAAATAATTAAATATATATTTGTGTTTACATTATCCAAATAAAAATGTTGAGCTGAGTATTCGAAAAGTATTTGGCATATTTTGCTATATATTTTTGCCAGCTTACCTATGTTTATAGATTTAGGTAATATTTATGTGCAGCTGCCCCAAGCGACAGTAACAAATTGGTGGCATGCGGCAACTAAGCGGGCCCAACCCAATTGCAACCAGTTGAAAACCACGTTTCCATTCTTGCATTTTGGTATATTGTGGCAACAAATGTTGCTGGATGCATGTGGCAGAAATGGGCCAGCGAGTCGAAGCTTTTGTAAATTGGAAACGTAATTCGAGGCGCAATGCAATAAATTGGCAAACAGCATGTCGACGAAAAATTCCTCAAACATTTCAAGCTGCATATTTATCATGGCAAATGGTAAATACAAACACACAACAAAACACACACAAACACACACACACACACACACATACATGCAGTAATCCATGTAAGCATGAGTGGCAAATGAAAACACGTGGCACATTTTCCTCTGTGTGCACACTTTCCCTCTGTTCAAACATGATGTCATTTATCCATTTCCTAAGCGGACTGCATCCATATCCCAAAGTTAAACATCGTAAATAATAACAGCATTTGAACAGAGCCACTGCGAAGGAAATGCAATTTTTAAACTAGGAATTGTACAGTCAAATACATACATATTTTTTATAAATTTAAGAATTTCCAATTTGTTTATTACTTTTATTTTATATTAAATAGCAGACATTACTTGCTTGGCTTTAATAGCTTCATCATCGAATTACGGTCCTTGAATCTTTATCTAATATAAAAGTTAAAAAAGATAAAAGTTTCCCTAAATTGTTTTATATTTTTTTTAATGATTTGGTAACTTTACATTTGTCCGACAGTTTATTAAATTTATCAGAGATAGAACTGAACAATTTGAATCATTAATTTAAAGCCAAATTAAAGTTTTTGTTTTGCTGTGAAATAGTTTTAAGTCCGTAATAATCCAAGGCTAAACAATAAATATTAATAATCTCTTAATAAGAATTGATTTTAGTTGAAAAGAGTTTCAAGTTGATTTATAGTTTAATGCTGTAATGCTGTAATATATATATATATATATATATTCATACCAGTTATAAATGGTGCAAAACTTACCGCAAAAGGCTACTTTTGCTGTTTTTCGGCAAAATATATGTGTTGTGCTTTACCAGGGAGTCGAAAAGTTGCCACTCTGCGGCAAAAGTTGGCAAATGAAAATAAATTCCTAAAGTTGGTTAATTAAAATAAAAAATGAAAATGAAAATGAAAATGAAAGCCACTCGAGTCGCACTTTTCCGGAAAATTTCGGCTACGACACCAGTGGCAATTATATGAAGAATGCGAGAGCCAGGATTTTATCCCATTTTGTCCCGATGTGTATATTAATGTCACATCTCTACGTAAATACATTAATATATATATATATATATATATCTACATATATACATAAAAGAATATTAAGATCTGCTCATAATTGGCATGAAGCTGTGTGAAATATGAAAATGCACACACGTAATTATATTGCAACAAAATGTTGATTCACTTATTCCACAGCCAACTTTCTTGCGTTACAGCCAAAATTGGGCAGGCAATTGGCAGAACTTTGTCAATTAAAACTTTATTGCTCGGGGCAAGTCATTAAATTAACAATGTGACAAAATGATTTCGACTGGCGGCTGCGGCAAATGATTTTCAAATGCCAAAGTTAAACAAATCTCGAACTAATAGCTGATATATTCATATCGTGATTGAAAATCCCATCCTGAAGTCAGTATGAAATCATTTACTCATATTTTATAATTTTAAATAATATTTTTTAATTGCAAGAATACATAAGGAGGAGCTAACAATTTTTGGAGAACAGAATCACAGCTTGGAATATTTTAATAAAATATGAATGGCGCAAATATAAACTTAATTTGTGAAATGCAACAGAACTTTTCATTTATGTTTTGCAAGGGAAATATTCCTTGGCTTACTCATCAATGCTCGCTAAGAATTCGAAGAAATAAAAGTGATTAATATTAATCTAAATGGGAAACAGATGTTCAGTTTTAAGCTTAAAATGCAGATGAATCAGTAAAAAGAAAACTTTTTATTGCTGGTTTGGCATTTGGGCAGAAGCCGGCACAATCCTAAAGTAACCGTTGACCATATAAATTTTGGGATCACCCGGTCCAGTGCCATCCGGATTGGTCTTCCAACTGATGGTCAGACATGGCTCGCCCGGCTTCACATCTTTTGGTATGGTTATCTCATAGTTCTTCGAATCTTCGGGGCTCATTTCGTTCTGGATAAGCAAAATGGGTCGTTGTGCCACAATTGCAACAGATTCCGGCTGCTGATTCGCAGCTGCTATACAAATTGGATGGATGTATTGTTGGAGTTGGTTAGAGTCAGTCTCTCTTTCTCTGGGCATCTAATAAAGTTGCACTTACACGGATAGCTCCAAGCGCCGGAGACGAGCAGCAGCAGCAGCAGCAGCAGCAGTTTTGATGTCATTATTTAATTCAAAGAAGAAAATATAAACAAAAACAAAAATCGAAAAGAACTCAGCTTTGTTTTATATACTAGATGCCTCACGCGTCTCTACAGACACACACACACAGATACACACACACACACACACACACTCAAATATTTGTATATATTTCTATTGCTATTCGTATTATCAAGCAACGTCTTGAAACGGAGCGATCTCAGCTCGAACTGCTCGAGGTTTGAGCGATTCAAGCTAAAGCAACTCAAATTCAGTCGCATTCTCTCTAAAAATAAGTCTTTTTTTTGTTGTTGTTGTTGTTTTCTCTTCCTCTCTGTGTGTCTGGGAGAATTCGCTCACCTGGCGAGTTTTGTGGCGCTTATCAGCTCGTCGGGCTTGAATGAATCAATACAATCCAATCTAATCCAATCGAATCGAATTCAATTGCAATCGCAGCTGCGACACATTTTGAGTGTATTCATTTTATGTATTTTGAGATTGTCGGCTGTCAAGTTGTAAACAATGCTCAGCATTTGATTGTATCAATATCAACTTAATTGTGAACATGACGCTTGCGGCCAGCTCGCTGCTGCTGATAGAGACCCGAATCGAGCACAACAAAGGAAAATCTGTGTGGCATCCACTGAGGTCACTGCGCCACGGACACCGCCAATAAATTGAGCAAGCATTTGTGCAATAAACTCATTACGAGTAAATTAATAATAATGCTATCAGCATACAATAAATAATTGATCAAAATTATTTGGCAACTAATTTCATTTCATTTATTTATTTTGAATATTATGTCATATTATTTTTCAAATTTATTTTTTGAATGAAGCGAATATGATGATTTCAGATTATTATGCTGTGTGCAATTTTAGGTTTTCATCTCAAATCAATAACTCCAAATTCTGCCTAAAATTATGCTTGATTTTTTAAATTTAGTTTGACTCTTGGCATTAATTTATCAGCCTGAAAGTATGCTTTGAAAATTTCGAGTACTGTCGCACTGTTGATTTTAAATTTTCCGCTTAACAGTATGTTTTTTATTTGGCGCGCAATTGAACATGGACCAAATTTGATTTCGCCTGAAAGTATGCCGTGATTTTCATTGACATGTTAAAGTTTTCGAATCAGTATAACAGTTTGCCTGACGAACTGCTTGCGACCAAATACACTGCTTTGCGTTAACAGCTTGTTTATTACTACTGGTATTTGTAAGTATTTTTATCTGTGCGACGATTTGGTCACACTGGATGTCATCCACCAAGGCGCGAAATATGCTAATTTAAACTAAGCAAGCTCGGCGAATTAAGAAATCAACTTAAAACAAGAAATAATAAATACCAAAGTTCAATTAAGTTGCTGCAGAGCCAATATATCAAGGCTTCATCCATATTTGAAATTTGCTTAAATTAAATTAAATAATTGAACATGTGAGCACCGCTTGGGTTATTCTGTTTTAATCGTTAATTTAAATTTGCATTTAATTTATTATATTTGTAACTTACAGCGAAACACATTAAACGTATTTTATAAACAAACAAGCTTAATTGTATTATGTATTTTTATATGGTAACTTTAGCAACAATTGTTTATATTTTACATTGCAAATTAATGGAAACTAAATCTAAATCTAAATCGAAATGGAAAAGTATTATTCCCTATTTGATTTGTAGTTTGTAGAAGGACTGGGAGTAGGTCGTAAGGACACTTGGAGGATGGAGGATACATATATATATATATATATATATATTAATATATATGAAACAAAATGTCAAATGGAAATTAAATTAACTACTTTGACTTTGCCCTTGGACGGAAACCGTTGCTTAAACAATTCCAATAAACAATTTAATGAAACTTAAATTCTCTCCCTGGTTTAGAAAATAAATTAACATTGCGGCTGAATTGGAAGACAAATGAAAACAATTTGTTTTGTTGCAAATATTAATTCATTTTCCATATTCAAAAGAAATCTTTAAAACTTTTCCATTGGTTTTGTGAGTGTTTTTGTTTTGCTTTTAGTTTTTTGCTTCAAGTGTCGTTTTTGTGTTGTTGCTACTGTACACAGTCTTTGTAGTTGTTGTTGTTGTTTGTGTTGTTGTCGTTCATATTTCGAGGTTTATCGGATCAAATTGGAGCCCATCCCCCTCCAACCGGCCCTTAAACCTCCGTACTGTGCGTTTGAATGCGCACCTTTTTCACACTTCCATTGCGGCGCATCGGAGGCGAACTGCCCGATCCAGAATAGCCGGGATTTTGAATGCCCAGCGTTGGATCGGGTCGGGGACGCGGCTTCTTGAGGCTGGAGCGGAGCGGGGAGCGGGTCACCGAGTCCAGTGTGGAGCCATTCGACACGCTCGTCACCGTGGTGCTCATCGACGCCACACTGCCTGCGGTTCCAGCTCCATTTCGTATGCCGCTATACGGCTTCCCGGAGGCATCCGTCACCGAGATGTTGCCGTTGCGGCTGCGCGGCTCCTTGAAGCCGGGATTGTTGAAGGTGGTCGCACTAGCTGGCGACGAAGCGTCCAGCGCCATTGTTGGATCGCCGCCCGAGCTGCGCGAATAGATCACGTCATAAAGGGCGGCAACAAATAACGCTAGCGATAAGACAATCACAACTATCTGCAATCCGCAAATAAAACAAAATCAGTTCAGCGAACTTTAACCAAGCAGGTGACTCAGACTCACCTGTATATAGAAGGAAATGCCCCGCGTTATCTTGAAACCAAAGCGCTCCTGTTCATCGATCTGCAGTGCAAACAGCACTGTGGCAATTATTGCCAGCAAACCTGCAGCGACAAATTATAATTAGCTATACCATCGGAGACTTGGAGGGATCAGAGAATAAGTCTTACCAGCCAGCAGGGCGAGTATCAGTTTGACAATGACCAGCCATGTGTAGGACATGACGACCTTCTCACGCGACGAGATCATCGCGTGCTGAATGACGGACAATATGCAAAAGATGCCCAGCACCGCTGAGCTGCCAATGGCCAAGAGTCCGCTGACAAAGACGGCATCTGTAAAAGGACGACGAATATTTAATAGTATCAGTTAAGCTTGTAGACAAAAAAGTGTGCAAATATTGAAATACTGTGGGCTTGAAAGGGCTGCTTAAGCAGCTAACCATCAGCATCTAGTTAATTAAAATCAGGTTAGGCGGGGCAGCTCCACCAGGAGATAAACTGAACCCAGATTTGGAGTAAATAATAGTTTGTGTTAATAAGAAAAAAAATGATTTAGCTAACTAAATTTGAATTTCTTATTCAATCTTAAAGAAATTTAGAATCTATATCTCTTTTATTTATGGATAAAATGCCAATGGTTTAATATAACTTATGTTGGAGTCTCTAATTCTTATAGTCTTTGAGATCTGCGATTCGATATAGATCTGTGTATGGTATACAAGAGCCTACATTCTCAACGTAGTCTCTGAGATAGGCTCAGCTATTGATGTTAATGATTAATATTTAGTTTATTCGTTCAGATTTGCTTCCTCCCATCTCTTGCTTACTTCTCTTATTTAAATTTCGAATGGGTTCAGCGTATAAAAAAACTACAAACGCTTGGCAATTTATTTTTATTTCAAATGCAGTGCGAGGCTTTTAATTTTTGGCGATAACTTTTCCCTTTTCCTCTGGAATCCAAGCTCTCAGTTATCATTTGAAGACAGTCCAACGTTCTCCATTTACATATTTAAAGATATAATTTTGGTCTGTGGTATATGTGTCATCTTTAACCCTCTCTCAAATAGTAATAAACGTGATTCTATACTTACTGCTCAGCCGGAATTTGGAGACATCGTTGCCGCATTTCTCGCGATTGTAAGTCAATTGCTTGCACACTTTGAAGGGTCCAAAATAGCCGCGATCGTAGTCATAACCACCTGCAAGAAACAAGTTAAGATTCAATCTCATATATGTGTCCGAGACAATATTCAGTGGGTACTCACCCGATGGACTATCGTAGTAACCCCAAATGGGTATGCCAATGGCGACAGATGCCAAAGCGAAGCAGACAAACCCCAGACAGGTCACCCCAGCAACATAAAGTGTCGACGTTGCCATGTTTTACTGTACAGCATAACGATGACGATGAATTGCGTGTTTATACCCGCTAAAGACTGAGATCCAGGGTATCCGATTGTGTGACCAACTGCTGCAAAAAATAAAACAAGAGCCCAAATGAGAAAGCGAATACAATGATTGGAGAAACAATTGCGCAAATATTTGCACGACTAACGCACAAAAATAACTCAAATGCAAACGAAATTCTCAATTTCCAATTAAGTAATAATTTAGTCATTTATGGAATGCCAACGCTGTGTGGGCTTCAAGCTAAGCGACATTGATCCACATCCAATGACATGAGACTAAATCCGGCCTATTCACCCATTTAACGCGCTCTGCGTTTCAATGTGGGTGGCAAATACAAATGTAAGCCAATATTTGACATTGTGATTACATAAGTAGAAGTGGCACACTTTGGTGCTCCCGAGTAGAGCTCCTCATCGCCATCGTCATCGTCATAGTCAGCGTCAACGGCAAGACGAACAATTAGACCTCATTGATGCATACATCTCATTGTGAATAAAGAGCTACTTGCCGCTGACCTTGAAAGGCGGAAAAGCTTTCGCAGAAGTGGCTCGTTGCCTCATTTCAGAGATATGAAGATGCCTCGATACACACGTAAAACACATATATAGTGTGTGTATGTGTTTGTGTGTGTGTGTGTGTTTGGGGTGTGCATCCATCCACAGAACGGCACAGAATGATTTTCAACTGTTCGACATTTTCAGACATACTGCAAATATTTGTTTTTCTTAAAAAATAAGCCGATTTTAGAGTAAGCCGATTTCCTGTAATTAAATGCCAATCTTTGTTCACATTCACGATATTTGTATTTGTGCAAGCATTTAAGGCATTCAATCAATTTTTGACGGCTCCATGCTAATTGGGAGGCTATTAAAAGCCAATAGTCAAAAGTGTAACTTAAATTTAGAATGTGAATTGTATTTTGCTACAAATTGAAAATTAAACTAAAGCAGTTTTAAATAAATAAATCAGAAACCTTGGCTTTTAATTTCCCGCTAATAATTGAATTTTTCTAATGGATTTAAAAACAAATCCAAGGAATTTTCACATTTGTGCTTCTTTGAATATGAGTAGAATGAAATAGTGAAAAGTTTCAAACAAACATTTGTCCATAATATGCTTAATAAGGAACTTACTTATCAGAATTGCAATGGCAATATCATTATGCAACTTCACTAGTAAATTAAGTTAATGCCTTCGATAAACAAAAGCCGCTATCGAGTTCTACGACTCTTCAATGACATAACGAATACGTAGTCAGAAACTTTAGATGACAAAGCCGATACGGCCATAGACACAGCGCCAAAACAAACATGAACCAGAGTACCGAGAAATTGAAGCTGAACGCGGAACGGCAGCTGGACGGATGGGCGGAGGGTGTCCAACCTGAAGCCGGCGTCGCTGTTTGTTGCTCTTAGCGGTAAATGTATATATATATATATATATAGAGAGAGAGAGAGAGAGAGAGAAGCAAGCAGCCAGACAAATGGACAGCAGAGAACAGAGCCAAACAACATCAGCCTCTTGCCGGCAATAAAGTGAATGCAAAAAGTCAGGCAAGCTTCTTAAATTACCAGGCGAAAGACAGACAGAAGCTCGTCGTTGGTTCTGCTCGTTGGCCCGGTCTCTGCGCTCGCTGGTGTGGAACCAACAGCCAACAGCCAAGAGCTAAGAGCCATAATAACTGTGCGGCGTTCTACTTATAGATGTGGATAGAAAGATGTATGCATGTTTATGTGGCAACTAGCTGCTGAGGGCAACCGGCAACAGGTTGTCGAATTTCGAAAGGTATCTAGTCGATGTGTGTGTGTGTGGCACAGAAAACATATGACAAGCATTGATCTATAGATCAATAGATCAAAGACCCAAACAATAATTTCCCTTTGTCTCTCGCCCTCTCTCTCTCTCCCTCTCTCACACACACTCGCTATCTCTCTCTTCTCAATTGTGTCACGACTTTCAACTTGCATAAATTTTCAAGTTACCAATTCTGGAGAGGAGAATTCCTTCGCCTTCGTCTTCGCCATCGACAACGACAACGACGACAACAACGACTTTGCCTCTGTGTGGGCAGCAACGAGGGCAGTTTATAGCGGTGTTGGCCATTTGATTTCTTTTGGTAATCCGCGCGTGATTCACAGCTGCTGCGCACAGCAGCATTTATGTTTATATGATTTACACAGACCGTGTTGGTGTTCGTCATGTGGCAAGGGAGTTGTGGCGGGTAGAGACCAACTTTGCGATTGTAGCCTGGCACTTGGCTGCCACTTCGCGTAGGTTGAAAGGTGTCGTGTCAGGGACAGCATTCAGTTGTCCCATAAATTATATAGCCCACATTTGCACATACAACAACAAAGTGCAACACGACGCTTGTCAAAAATCGTATCTTGTAATCCCTGCCCTCAAAAAAGATATGCTTAACCTTAGCAACTTCCTTGCGATTTCGTGATCCAAGCACATAAATCAGTTGTTAGGCTATGTGGCTCAAAGCCATTAGTATTTTAAACAACAGCAAGCGAAAATCAATTAACAAGAAATAGAGTAAATTCGCTACACACAACAGGCCAACAACCCCAAACAAATAAGAAAAACGTTCGTCACTTAATCAAATGCGCCAAATCTGTTGGCCAAAGCAAGCCCAAAGCCCACAACATACATCGATACAAAAGGTAACTGGCGACTAATGAAAAGTCGCTTTTCCGCACACAAATTGGGTCAACAAATAGCAGCAAAATAAAAAGGCAGGCAAACACAACAGGAAATTTACTTCAAATTGTCGGTCTGCCTGGGAATCAAATGGCAAAACGTGTCGTGGTCACGAGACTTCGACTCTGACTCCAACTCCAACTCCGATTCGAACTCGGACTCGGGGTTATTAAACGTTTGCCATTCAAATGGGGCGCAACGTCTAACCTAGAGCGCTTCGCCCTCCCCGTGGCTACCACCTTGCCTGCCCCCTTTCACTGTGCTCCACCTAGAGCCTAATGCATAGTGCCCGTAGCTATTTATTGATTTTCACCAGAATCGTGTTCTGTTTATTGTTTGGTTTCAGTTGGCAACGCGACTTGGCCATAGTTTCTGGGCCTGCCCAGCCAACTAGCCAACCAGGCAACGTGGCTGCTTGCACTTGTTGCCATGGCAATGTGCACAAACATTTTGGGCCACAACACCAAACAAGGCAGCAACAACAACACTCAGCCAAGAGTGCAGTTCAATTTTTGCCATGCTTTTTCCCTGAAAATTTTCATAAATTGAGCGCCTTCGAAAATGCAGTCGGCTTTCGGGGCTTTCTCAGAAGACCCAAAGGGCCAATGTTGTCAAATTTGGTTTATTTTTGTGATAAAATTAGTTTTTTCTTAAAAGTGGTTTATCGAGATAATTGAGTCTGCTGAAACAAGTTTTTAGAAATATGTTTAGAGAATTTAGCTAAAAGTAAAGTTGGAATATCCATTAAAAGCAAAATAAAATATTTTAAAAATCTAGCAACCCTTCTTAGGTAATAAGAAACTGGAAAAATATATATAGAAATATGTGGGCAGCAATAAAGATAAATTGCAAAATAAATTATTCAAAAAAAAACTATCTACCTTTGTGGTTAATGGGAATGTGCTCATTATTACTTCTCTAGTAATATCTTAGTCAGCCTTGGAATTTATGGATTTGCTCAGCTTAATTATTCGCAAACTTATTTACATGTTTAAGTGTTGTTTAGCACTGCAAAGAGCAAGTCAACATAAATTAGGAGCAGGTGGCTGAGTGACACGGCAGACAGCCAGCTAATTTCCTCTCATACATATGCATAAGTGCCGTTAGGCAGTGTTGCCAAACTTCTTTTTAGTAATAAAATACTCTCCCGAGAGGCTGTTAAGACAGTTTCTCAGTTTATAGTACTATTAAAAAGTCTCAACTGAGTAGTTGCCAAACTTCACTTTGCTGTGCTGCACTCAATATTAGCCAATAAATCGTCTCATTCCCATCTCTTCTGCTTTCCGCGGCTCTTGCTTGTTTTAAGCTGGCTGATTGGCCTGTTACCAAACGCTCGAGGCGTTAGACAGCTAGCAAAATGCCGGTTAGAATTTGCTATGCATCGTCATGGACACGTTCTGCTAATTCTGCGTGTGTCTGTGTGTATGACTGGGGAAGCTGAAGCTGCAACTCGGTGTTGCCGACGCCTCGTTGCACTTTCTATTTGCCAAGCCAGTGAACTGCATGCCGCCTGCCGCCTGCTGCCTGCCGCATGCCGCATGCGTCCCCAATGCATTGGCTACTTTAGCTAATGACTTCATTGAATCGACCGAGCCGGCGACAACAGCAACTGCCACAGCAACAAGCAACAAGCAACAAGCAACAACAACAGCTGGCAACGCCAAGTCTCTTGACTCTTTGGGTGACTTTTGCGTATCAAGCGCACAAATTAGCACGGACAACTTAAATGAATAGAGAACGGACCACCATCCATTCACCATCATCACTATCATCATCATCATCATTATTATCAGCAATTTGGTCGTACTCAATGACAGAAATTGGGTTAGTGGTAGTTCAACTTAATCTGGCTAATGAATATTCTGTTAAGAAGTATGCAAAATGACACTGGAAAATGTGTGCAGCAATTAAATGAAATTGCTACAGAAGAGGGAAAAACTTGTTTGTTTTTTTTTTTTCAGTAAAATGCAATCACATGTGATGTAAATATGTGCCAAAGAAAGAAAGAGAGAGAGAGAGAGAAAGAGAGAGAGAGAAAGAGAAAGAGAGAAAAAGAAATAGAGAGATTGAGTTGCCGTGTGGAACGAACATTTGACAGCCATAAAAGCCATTGTCACCCAGCGAGGCAGCGTCGCGTTGCCTTAATAACAATGTCTATGAAACGACACACATACACATACACACACACACACATGCACACTTATGTGGCAGTTAGGGGAGCAGTGGGGCAGTTAGCGCAGATAGCCGCACGGGGGCATGTCAATGTGTTCATGCAGTCCAGCTGAGGGCGTTGGCAGGTTGATTGTTTACACAACTTGCATATATAGTTTTTGTCCAAGTTGTCACAACGAAAGATAA